CTTGCGCACGCTGGGATCCCATATTGGCGCCGGTTCTAATCCCAGCAGCTTCACTTCCCATCCAGCTCCACTTCCCATCCAGCTCCCTGCTTGTGGCCTGGGAAAGCAGTCGAGGACAGCTCAAAGCTTTGGGACCCTGCACCCATGTGGGAGACCTGGAAGAGCTCCTGGCTCCTGGCTTCGGATCGGCACAGTACTGGCCATTGAGGTCACTTGGGGAGTGAATCATCGGACGGAAGATCTTCCGCCCTGTCTCTCCTCCTTGGTATATCCGCCTTTCCAATAAAAATAAATAAATCTTAAAAAAAAAAAAAAAAAAAAGAATTGGAGCAGCTGGGATTTTGAGCTCTAATATAGGATGCCAGGAACTCAGGCAGCAGCTTAACACACTGTACACCAAGATGTCCTTAATTGTTTAAATGAAGGGCATGGCATCTCTTTCTGCCGCCCATCCTGTGCCAGCAGAGTTCTGCTTCCAGAAAATATCTGTGGGTCTGTTTCAGGCCAGCTTTGAAAAAAAGCCGTGTCTTGCCTGTGTTTCGTCTTCTGGTGCTTGTAAGCTGATTTGGTTCCTGGAATGAAGTGGCTTAGAGCCGGGGGCAGAATTCTACCCCTGAGCCAAAGTTGAGCAGCTTCTCTTCCTCTGGAGGTGGAGCCCGCAGCTGCCGCGGGGAGAGCTCAGGGTGGTCAGTGCCTGCATTGAGTCCACAGGAACGCACACCTGCCCTGCCTGTCACATCCTTCCCCTCCAGTTGGGAAGCTGGGAAAAGGTGAACTCAGACCTGCCTTCCAGAAATGAGACTGGCATCAGGGACAAATGGAGAACCTGACCTTGGGTGGAGGCATGTTCTTGTAGTGTGGCCTCCGTCAATGCCAACAGCATTTGTGTGTGACTTAGCTGTTCCTGGGCTTGCTCATGGTCTCTTGCACTGCTGGTTGGTGAACATGCAGTTCCAGGGGGTTTGGGTGCTGCATTTAGAGTCAGTATAAACCTCCTCAGAGAGTACAGCAGCACCCTTTGTTCTGGGTGTCATCAACGCCTGCTGACCCCGGCCAACACAGGGACTGCATGGGATTGAGGCCAGCTGGTCCAGGCACTCCAAGACCAGAAGACATCTCTAGAGACAGACATGAGGCGGGCTTCCTGGAGGAGACCTGGGATCTGAGTGGACTGCTCGTTCCTCTTGTCATTCCCAGGAGTTGACTTGGGGGGAGGCTGGGGCTGGCTGCTTTCCGCCGTTTTCTTTTATGCTTAGTTTTGGGCCACTACATGTCATGATGGTGCGCGTGAATACTTTGTTTCTGGAATTGGCTCTGCAGACTGGGCCTGAAAACTTGGCTAGGCCATGGGCAAAATGGTTGTAGCGCATAGAAGAATGTGCTGTCCTCTCATGTGGCAACAGAAAGGGCTGCTCCACCCAAGAGTTGACAGGTTGCTCAAGCCCAGGTAGGGTGTGTGTGTGGGGGGGGGTGGGGGGATCCAGTGGCATTCTGTCCAGTGTCACAGATATTAATGTGGTGACCAGTCCTAGGGAGCAGGAAGCTCATTTCTGATCCCTGAGGCACACGGCCATCCATCACAGCGCTCTCAGATATAAATGGATACAGTTCACCGAAAACTTCCTGTGTGGTCACCCCCCACTCCCATCAAAGCACTTATCTATAGCATGGTCAGCAGGATTAGAGCCTCGTAAAACACAGGCCATGGGGAGAAACAATAAAAATTGCATTAACACACGCATATGTCTAAAATGGTTCACTGAAGATTCTAGAAGTCACCCACCCCTCTAACAATTTCCTTCCTGCCAATAGCTGCCCTTAGAGCATGAGGTGCCTGCGCTCCTGGCCCTGTGTGGCCTGTGACTGCCTCAGCAGGGGCTTGCTCACTGCCCCTCTCCTCTTCCTTCATGTCCTCCCTGCGCCCCCCTTTCTTTGTAAAGTACAAGGCCATTAGTTGTACAACTTTCTAACTGTACACACATCACTCAGGAGCTGAAGGGCATGTTTTCTGATGGTCCTGTGGCACAAGTTACTTGGGAACGTCAAAATATTTTTTTTAATTAAGAGAAAAAGTGAGTGAGCCTGTGCACAGTCCAGTCAATGCCCTCTCAATTCTCTCTCTTTGGTGTTTACGAAGACAAGGGCTGCCCAGGACTAGAACCAAGAACTTAACCCAGGTCTCCTACATGGATGGAAAACTGCAAGAATTCTGAGGATCTGGAGTCCGGCACAGTGGCTCAGTGGCTATATCCTTGCCTTGCATCCACTGGGATCCCATATGGGCACCAGTTCATGTCCTGACTGCTCCACTTTCCACCCAGCTCCCTGCTTGTGGCCTGGGAAAGCAGTCAAAGCCTTGGGACCCTGCACCCTCTTGGAAAACCCAGAGGAGGTTCCTGGCTCCTGGCTTTGAATCGGCTCAGCTCTGGCCATTGTGGCTACTTGGGGTGTGAACTAACAGACAGATCTTTTTCTATCTCTTCCTCTTTGTATATTTACCTTCTCAATAAAAATAAATAAATCTAAAAAAAAAAAAAAAGAAAAAGAAAAACCAGGGTTCTGAGGATTCCTGTGGCTGTTCAGCGCTGGCACCAGGTGAGCCTAGGGTGCAGCGCAGGGCTTCAGGCTGGAGGTGGCCAAGCTGGGACTCCTGGTACAAAGCCAGCTTGGCTGTTGCTCAGCTCCCTGTGCAGGGAACACCCCAAATTACAAGCATCAGTAAGGGGACTACATGTGAAAATCCTTGAGAGAGTTCAGAAGAAAAAGGAATTTCAAAACAAGGTTTTTTTGGGGGCCTCCTACCCAACAAAGAAAGGCCCATGCATGGTCTTTTCATAATATACATTTCTACAAATTTGAAAAAAAAATGATTTATTTGAAAGATGAGAGAGAGAGAGAGAGAGAGAGTGTGTGTGTGTGTTTCCATGTGCTGGTTTGCTCACCAAATGGCTACAATAGCTGGGTCAGTCAGATGGAAGCCTGGTCTCTCGCCGTGTTTGGCAGGAACCCAAGAACGTGGGTTACTTCCCGCTGCCTTCCCAGGCACCTCAGGGAATGGAGCTGCTGGGACTTGAACCAACACTCATGTGGGGGAGGTCCATGTTGCAGGCAGTAGGCTAACTCTGTAGTGCCACACTTCCTACATTTTTTTAAAGATTTATTGTATTTTTATTTGAAAGGCAGATTTATAGGGAGTAGAGACAGAGAGAAAGATCTTCCATCCCCTGACTTATGGCCCAAGTGGCCGCAATGATAGAATTGAGCCAATCCAGAGCCTGGAACCTCTTCAGGTCTCCCATGTGGGTGCAGGGTCCCAAGGCTTTGGGCCGTCCTTGACTGCTTTCCCAGGCTACAAGCAGGGAGCTGGATGGGAAATAGAGCAGCCAGGACACAGACCCACACCCATTATGGGGTCCCAGCAGATGCAAGGCAAGGATTTAGCCACTAGGCTATCGTGTTGGGCCTCCCTAAACTTTTTTAAGTTCCCCTTGCCCCCAGCTGCTGCCACCATCTGTGTGAATTTAAAACATGCGCTTCTCCAAAATAAGTTTACCCTTTGCATTCTATTTTCCATGGGTTTTCTGAAGTGCCCTGCTGGAAGCCCTTGGGCCAGCCGTGCAGGGCCCATGTGGTGGCTTGATGATGCAGTCTCTCTTGGGCCTTCTGGTCTACCTTCACCATAGCTTCCTGTAGGATGGAGCTGAGGCTGCAGCCTCCACAGCACACCTCCCAAGCCTGAACAGCATTGTGGTTGCCTTTGCTTTGTTTGGGAAATAACCCGTGTGGACACCTGTCTCTGTAAAAGGCAGAGATGGAAGGAATGCCAGAAGCCCAGCTGGAAAGGGGCTGCCAGTAATCTAAGAAAGGGGCTTCTCCCGGTCCATGCAAAGCTGTTGATGGTCTGTGTGAGCAGGGGTATTGCAGCATGGCCAGCCCGCCCCCATGCCTCCTTTAAACAAACTGTGAGGAGGAAGACAACTTAATGATGAAGTTGGGATCCCACCTTGAAGCTGGTCCCTCTGACTGTCCTCCATGGGTGCCCTCCAAGGCCAGCCCGTGCAGGTCAGTTGGAGGTCAGAGTCAGCCACCGAGGCCCAGTGTACTGTGCTTCACTGAGCAGGAACGAGGACTTTTTCCTTGCTGAGGTGTCCAGTGGTGTAAGGAGGAGTAACTCTGGGACTCCTGAAGGCGCTCAGACAGCAGGATGGGAAGAGCTGGGCAAGGGTCCAGGTGGAGGCCCCTTGGTGAAGGGGGTGTGATCCTGGAACTCCCTCTGGAGCCAGCACCCCTTGGCCATGGCTGCCATGCAGTGCGCCCAGCCAGCCAGCCATTGCGCAGCTGTCTGAGGCGAAGGACCGATTCGTTGGGATCTGAGTTTCCATTTCCAATCTGTCATGCAAAGGACATTATTAGAAAACAAAATTTTTTTAAAAACCGATATAAGGTGTAAGTTGTGTTCCTAGACTTAAGAGACATCAGATGACTAAAGGTTTCTCAAGACTAACTCAGTTCCTGTACTTGAACTTACACTGGCAGAGAGTTCACAGCCTTTGTCTGCAGCGCAAGCGGTGTACTTTGGGCCTCCTACCCCAGAGGTCCAGGTTCTAAGGCCGGTCAGAAACCCCAGCCTTCCCAGCTCTGTGTGAGAACGAATCTCAAGGGGAAGGAAGAAGCCCCCCAGGAAGAAAGCAGCCTGGCTTTGCTGTGTGTTCATTCTGCCTCTCTCTTTCCCTCTCCAACTCGCTTTTACCTGAGTCGACTTTCTTATCAAGAATCACCACGTGCAAGTGAAAACTTTATTACCCCTTTGAGCCAAGAAGGGAAAGGTCGCAGCTAATTGTAATCATTATCCAGACTCCCCTACCTGAGCACGGCTCTGGGCATGCACCAGGCTGATTAGCACGGTGGTATGCCAGCCAGGCGGGCGGCCGACTGCAGCAGGCATGCCTGGCCTGGCCTGGCCCCAGCTGACCGAAGTCTCTGTTGACTCTGTGTTGCAGTTCTCCAAGGACAGACACATCATGGACAGGACCCCCGAGAGGCTGAAGAAGGAGCTGGAGGAGGAGCTGCTGCTGAGCAGCGAGGACCTGCGCAGCCATGCCTGGTACCACGGCCGCATCCCCCGACAGGTACCTTGCTCTCTGCCCTTCCAGGGTGCACCTGCTGTTTTCAGGGCAGACAGAATGATGGTCCTTCCCGAGGTCCACGTGGGGGGCAAGCCCCTGAGTAGCCTCAAATAGGTTCTTTAAAGTGGCTTAACTGGCCCAGTCTCTGAAGATGGAGACCTTGGGTCAGGAACCCAACATTTCTGCATGCCCAGTAAATAGAGGAAGGAAATGCCCTGTGGCCAGCAGGAGGCAGCAGCCACAGGAGTCACAAACCTGAAGCAGCAACCCTTTCCTGCTGTGGTTCAGATGACTGAACTCATGGCAGGCTGCCTGTGGCCTCCTACTGTTGGCAGCCTGCCGCCTCCTGGCAGCAGCACTGCACTCCAGAGGAAGTGCAGGACCACCGCCCAGCAGGACCACCTCCTCCCTAGAGAGCAGGCTCGGTGGGACTGTCATGTGGATGCTTGTCATATATATATGTTATACATTTTCATGAATTCAAACATATATATATATATTTATTTATTAGTCAATACTATAAAATGGAATTGTACCATTTCTCACGTTTCTGTGGTAGTCTGGGGTCAGTCAGTTGTTAACCTGGAAGAGCACCCAGGGAAGCAGGTGGTTGGGAAGGGGGAAGGCCATGCTATTGTAATTGTGGTCGTTGGTTTTAAAGTACAGCTGATTCCTCAGCACAACCAAAAACCAGCTCTAACTCTGTCCGAGTTTAACATGGGCCATAGGAAGCTAGAGAGCAGAAAGAAAATGAAACTCTCTCCTGGGAATCACCATGTGGAACATTTTGGTATTTATCCTTTCAAACTCATATATATATGAGTTTTTTTTTTAAAATAATTTTTTTATTTGAAGATAATTTTTTTTATTTGAAGATAATTGAAGATAATAATTTTTGAAGATAATTATTTTTTTTTTATTTGAAGAGCAGAATTACAGGGAAGGAAAGCTAAAGAGGGAAAGATCTTCACTCCCGGTTCACTCCCCAAATGACCACAATGGCTGGAGCTGAGTAAATCCAAAGCTAGGAGATAAAAACTTCCTCCAGGTCTTCCTCATGGGTGTAGGGTCCAAGGACTTAAGCCATCCTCCACTAGCTTTCTGACGCCATGGCAGGGAGCTAGATTGGAAGTGGAGCAGCCGGGACATGAATTGACACCCATACGGGATACTGGTGCTTGCAGGTGAATTAGCTGGCTATGCCACCATGTTGGTTGTCCTGTTAGGCTGTCAGGCTGCCACTGTGTGTTCTGTGACTTGCCTCCTACACCTAGTGACACATGCTGGGCGTATTCACCTGCTGGGAGGCATTCTTTTTACACCAGTCCACAGTGTGCTGCTGTCCATTGTACACATACACCACAATTTACTGGCCACTTAGAGAACTTCTCACACTCTGACCGACTACCTGTTGGGTAACTACTAGGTTCATCTCTGTAATTACTTCCATTGGCTCACTTCCAGGAAATGGAGTTTCTGTGCAAAAACATATTTTTAAAGCAAAGATGCAGTCTTAAGGGAAGCGTATCAGTGATCCAATGATAGAACGTCCTGGGAAAATTGTCAAGTTTATAAAACTGATTGTCACTACTGTCCCTCTCCTCGCTATGCCATAAAAATTTGCCATGAGTGCAAATTTTCAGCAGCACATCATACCAGACTGCAAAAGTGAACTCTGTGACAGTAGCAGTAATGGTTGTGGCTCACACTTTATCCCTTTAAGTCTTTATAGCCGCTCTGTGCGTAGCATTATCCTCCCACTCCCTAGACGATGTGAGGGACTTGCAGAGAGATGCTGTCGCTTGCCCACATCATACAGCTGTGCCAGAATGTAGACCACTGAGGCCGGGCCACAGGAAGGACCACGTTGCCCTGCTATAAACTCTCCTTGTGCTCTGTCACCACCATCTCAGTTATCGATTATTTTAAAAGTTATGTATTTATTGGAAAGGCAGAGTGGCACAGAAGGAGAGACTGGCCTCAAAGAGCCACAATGGCCAAGGCTGAGCCAGGCTGAAGGCAGGAGCCTGCAGTTCCATCCTAGCCTTCAGCATGGGTGGCAGGAGCCCAAGCCTTGGACCAGCCCTCACCCCTTCTTTCCCAGGCACATTAACGGGGAGCTGGATCAGAAGTGGAGTAACTGGGACTCCAACCAGCGCTCGTGGGTGGTAGCGGTCTCTTAGGTGAAAGCTTCATCCGCTGGACCCTAAGGCCAGCCCCAGTTAGTGATGTTGTGAACATTCACTGTGTTCCAGGCACTGTACCAGTGCCCTGTATAGATTATGGATGCACATCTTTAATCTTCAAAACTGTGGGAGCTGAGGGAGCCCAGGCCTTGTCCCAGGCCTTCAAGCCAACAGTTGATGGGAACAGAAAACACACACGCGCGCGCACACACACACACACACACACACACACACACACACACACACACACCTGTGTCTGGTTGCACAGTTCTGCTGGTAGACTCCTTCTCCTTGGCCAGGCATGGAAAGGCTTCTGATGATGAATTCTAGACACCAGCCAAGAAACCTTCCTCTCCTTACTCCACTGGCTGTGGAGAACGAGCCTTGCCAAGCCCACGCGTCACCACGCCTCATTCTCTGCCGTGTTCACGTATGTGTGGACATGATTGAATCCTGATACCTCTCTGACTATCTGGTTTCTCCCCTCCCAGGAACTTCCTGTTCCCCTTTCGCATCTACTTTTCCTTTCACTTGACAGCAGGTGACATTCTAACCCTGTTACCTGTTGATCGCCCGAGGGCAGGACTCTGGCCCACTTCCTTCCCTGCCACCCTCCCTGTGCCTACTGCAGCGTTTGGCACATGGAGAAGTCAGTGGCTCACTCCTCAGCAAATGATTCCATCTCCTATGAACCTGACATTTAAAAATCTGAACAAGGTGGGGGCGCTGGTGCAGTGGTTCAACAGTCTAATCCCCTGCCTGGCAGCTGTGGCATCCCCTGTGGGCACTGGTTTGAGTCCTAGCTGCTCCACTTTCAGATTCAGCTCCCTGCTTATGGACTGAAAAAGCAGCAGAGGATGGCTCAGGTTCTTGGGATCCTGCACCCACGTAAGACCCGGAAGAAGCTCCTGGCTCCTGACTTTGGAGCTCAGCTCCAGCTATTTGGGGGAGTGAATCAGCAGGTGGAAGATCTTTCTTTCTCAGCTTCTCCTTCACTCTGTAAATCCACCTTTCAATAAAATATAAATCTTAAAAAATTTTTTCAGGGTACCTACATGCTATTTCATGATGCTTTGGTTCCAGTCCTGTCTGGGTACAGGAAGCTGGTTCCAGTGCCAACGTCCTGTACCCAGGGAGGCGATAAGCAAGTCCCTGTCACCTCCACACAGGTCACCTGCATTGAGTCCCTTTGGTCTGACCCTGCCCTGGTTGTAGCCGGCATTTAGGGAATAAACTGGCAGATGTCTTTTCTCTCTTTCAATAAGTGGGAATTTTCCAGCAAAAGAAATCCCAAAGTAGGAGAGAGGTGATAGTGGGTTTTCTGCGAGTCCAGAGAGCAAGTGGCAGTAAACAGAAGGGACATGAGTGCGTGCCTTTCTCACCCCTTACTCTGTGTCTTGCCCTACAGGTGTCTGAACACCTGGTGCAGCGAGATGGCGACTTCCTGGTGCGGGACTCTCTCTCCAGCCCTGGAAACTTCGTCCTGACCTGTCAGTGGAAGAACCTGGCACAGCACTTCAAAATCACCCGCACGGTGCTGCGGCTCAGTGAGGCCTACAGCCGCGTGCAGTACCAGTTTGAAACTGAGAGCTTCGACTCCATCCCTGGCCTGGTGCGCTGCTACGTGGGCAACCGCCGGCCCATCTCTCAGCAGAGTGGCGCCGTCATCTTCCAGCCCATCAACAGGACAGTGCCGCTGCGGTGCCTAGAGGAGCGCTATGGCACCTCCTCCGGCTGGGCCCGGGATGGCAGCCTCGCCGCCACCGCCGAAGGAAGGACAGAGGTGGCCAGGCGGCTGAGCCTCACCGTGGGCAGTGGCCAGGCCCGAGAACAGAGCTTATCCAGGGGAAACCTGCTCAGGTGAGTTCTGGCAGGTGGTCCATCAGGGGCTGCCTCGCTTCGATGAGGCAAAGGAAGACACGGGGAGCTGTCCGGAGGCGGTGTGTGATGGTGTCTGCATTGAGTTGCGTGAACCCTAAGCGAGGCAGGAGTGGAGGGAGTCCTGGCTGAGAGGAGGAAGCCTTGTGTAGGCCGTGGGCCTGGGGCTGCCCCGCAGGCACAGCCACGGGGAGGGTGGGCTAGGTGAGGGACAGGATGGGCTGAGCGTGGAGACAGGTATAGGGCAGGCTGGTGCCAAGGCAGGGTCTGGTGAGGGAGACTGGCAGCTTTTGGAGGTGAGCCTGGCCAGACCCTGGAGCCTTAATTTTAGGCTGGGGGCTTTTTTTCTTTTATAAGATTTATTTATTTATTTGAAAAGCAGAGCTACAGAGAGAGAAGGAGAGAGAAAAAGAGACCCTTCATCCATTTCCTGGTTCACTTCCCAGATGACTGCAATGGTCAGGGCTAAGCCAGGTTGAAATCTGAACCTGGTGCTTCTTCTCGTTCTCCCATGTGGATTCAGGGTCCCAGGTACTTCGGTCATCCTCTGCCACTTTCCCAGGTGCATTAGTAGGAAGCAGGATCAGAAGTGGAGCAGCCAGGACTTGAACTGGTGCCCCTATGGGATGCTGGCATTGCAGGCCTTAGCTTGATGTACTACACAACGGAAGTGGCCCCAGCTGGGGGCTTTAAAGGGGCTACAAAGATTCTCAGGGAGACCCAGCGAGTGTCTCAAGAACAGAACTGGAGTGTGAAATGCAAGGGGGAGAGGAGAGAGGAGCAGTGGACTCACTGGTGAGTCATGGAGGGTCCCCAGCTGAGGGAGTGAAGAGGGAGGGAGGGAGCTGCAGGTGTGGGAGCCAGGCCCCCTGTGCTTCGTGGGTGAAGGTTGGAAAAGGGTGTATTGGAGCCCACAGGAGTGAACAGGAAGAGCGGGTTTGGGTGGAAATCTGACCTGGGTCCGTGGCCTTCCCTGGTCCCCACTGTCCTGCAGTCTTTCAGGACTGCTCAAAGAGGGGACACAGACCACAGATTCCAGTTAGGGTTCGGTCCCTATGGAAACAGCAGCCGACTTGATGAGAACAATTGTGCAGCTGTGATAAGGGAGAGAGAGTGGGAGGAGTGTCTGAACCACAATGAGAATACCACTATGAGAAGAGCTCAGAGAACTGGGTCAGAAACCAGACCCTCTAAACCCGTTGTATTGGTAAAAGCCTGACAGCAGAGCTAAGAGCTTCTGCAGGGATTTTCCAGCTGAGCCCAGGAAAGAGGAGAGAGGAGACTGGTGCAGGATGTGGACCCCTCCCCCGAGCCCCTCACAAGCTCCCCACTTGCTAAGCTGCTACACACAGAGCACCACGTGTCATTGCTCTGTGGGTGGTCTTTCTAGACTACAGGAAATGTTGCCAACTGTCATTTTTACACTGCAAAGCCCCAGAAGCAAAGCCCAGGGCTCTGCGAGTGGCACCTTTTACAACTGGGAGCCACCCAGGGCCTCCAGCACTTGATAACATTTGGCAGTGGCCTGGGGCGCCAATGTTTCCTGCACATCAGCCAGCTGTGCCAGCCACAGGCTTGAGGACAGCGCAGGTGCACAGTGAGGGCTAGGTAGGTGTTAATAGTCCTAGTGAGGATGAGGGGGTAGCCAGCTTGGGGCAGGTGCAGGGAGGAAGGCAAGAACCCAATAGCAGCCGTCACCTCCCTTTATAGTGAGATTGTGGCACCTGAGCTTACCGAGAAGGGCCATCCGTCTTCCTGATTCCTCAGGGAATTCCTCAGCAGGTGGGGCAGCGTGTCCATGTCCACACAGCACAGGTGCCAGAGTGGCAGGCAGAAGCAGGAAAGAACCACACTTGTGTGGTGCTGCAAGGAGTGGCTGTGAGAGCTCTCAGTGATTCTGAGTTAAAAACTAGTTTTTCCAGAGATCAGAAAGGAGAGGAAGGCGGGGAGTCTGCATATCAGGCCACTCTGGGAGCCCCTCTTCTGATTTCCCTGTGGAATGCGGAGCCTGCCACTTGTCACCACTTGGAGCTCAGGAATGTGGGGGCAGGGCAGGCTGAAGCTTGTAAGATGGCCCTGATGGCCTGCCGCCCTGCCACCCTGCCCTCCCTCACGTCAGCTGTGGCCCAGTGCCACCTGCCCTGACGTCAGGCCTGCTGGTTGGCTGGCTGGTGGCCTCCCCAGCAAAGGTGAGCGTGTGTGTGCGCATGCTCGGCCAGGTGACATTCCAGGCCAGTGCTGCGGTCACCGCTTCACTGTCACTTCTTTGGCCATTTCCTTTTCCCTGCTGGAATTTGCCCTCTGTCTCTCTCCTTATCTCTGAAGGTTTGCCAGACTTCTGTCTGCTGGAGTTTGGGGTTTTCTGGGGTGTGTGTGTGTGTGTGTGTGTGTGTGTGTGTGTGTGTGTGTGTGTGTGTTTCTCTCAGGTGCTTGCAAAGGTAGGAAAGAACAGAGGTTTTGTGCTTGTGGGAGGGCCCGTTCAAGTTCATCTGGGCAGGGGTTGGGCCTGCCTTCCAAAGACAGATTCTCTTGCTGTCTGCATGCTTGCTAGAGAAGTTCCCTCTTCCACTTGGAAAGGGTCGAGGGGCTCCCAGCACACCTCGGGTGGCTGCCATCCACCTTCCCCCACCTCATGCCGTTGCACGCCGTGCCTTGCAGGGCAAGGCCAGCAGTGGGCAGCCCATGGGGCCAGGTGGACGGTGGGGTGTGACAGTTGCCAGTAAGATCCCGCAGGTTGTCGGGGGTGGAGTGGGATGTTGGGGCATGCATCACCATGGTGACATGGTGAGGTGGCCCTGTGTGAGTTCAGGCTGTCTCCCTCAGCACCCTGGGGCTCTGAAGGGAATTTGGGGCTCTGTGAAGAACAGACATTCCAGGTGGTCGGATTGGCCTGAGAGTGCGCTGTGTGTAACTCCTCCCCGCCAGCTCTGCTTGGCAGGCTGGAGCACTCCGAGGAGGACTCGCATGGGTCTTGGGGGATGCCAGCATTCCTTTGCAGTCAGGGATGCTGGAGCACTCCCATACTGAGCAGGTTTATCTTTCTCTTTTTCAGCTTTCCAGGACCAGTGCCTCGAGTTCTTAGGATTCAATGACATGTTTCTCTCCCCTTTGTCTTTTTTGCTTCAGAAATAAAGAGAAGAGTGGTAGCCAGCCAGCCTGCCTGGATCACATGCAGGACCGAAGAGCCTTGTCTCTCAAAGCCCACCAATCGGAGAGCTACCTGCCAATTGGTAGGTTCTGGGGGGATGGTGGTGAATTTGCAGGGAGGCGGGTGGCAGGATGACCCCAACCTCCCACAGGCTGTGGCTCGGCCCATGTGAAATGACAGGACGCCCCACATCCACCATGGGTGAGGACAAGGGATTGCCAGTGCGTGGCTGGATGCAGTGCTGTCCGGGTGCCGCTGGCCCTGGGGCCTTGGAACCAGCCTTGTAGGTGCAGAGGGTTCATCCTCGGGCCATAGCTGAGCAACAGGGCATGGAGTGGCCAAGTAGTGCCACCTGGCATATGAACCCGATTTCTGTGATCCTGAGCCCATTTTGTGGAGCAGTGGCCTTCATGGCCATTTGGCCTACCACCCCCTCTGCCTCCCCAGACAGGTGGTCAGTGGCAGGGCCAGGGAGAGAGGGGAAATTCTAGCCCTCAGAGAGTCGGCTTCATCCAGTGACTAGAAGCGCCACAGGCATGGGGGCCCCAAGTAAGCGATTCCGTTACACGGGGCTGCTTCCAAGTACTGTGTAACTGACCTTCTCTGGGCCCGCAGTGGGTGTGCCCACGGCCCCTGGGAACCTGCCTCTGTGTGCCTGCCGCCTGCGCCGCCGTGCACCTCGAGCTCTTCCTTCAAAGCCGCCAGAGACCCACCCTTGCCTGGAGTGTGACTCAGGCCCTCGTGTGCTCTGTGGCTAAAAATCCTTGCTTCCCAGGGCACACGCAGTCTGTCCTGCTCTGTGGCCCCGTCAGCCTCCTGTGACCACAAAGTTACACTGCAACCCAGCTGTTGCCAACTCCTGGAATCCAGAATTGCCCTTAAAGGGTGGGGTGGGGCCCCCACTATACCCTCAGCCTTTGAGTGTTCTAGAATGCTCTAGATGGTGGAAGGAGGGGATAGTCACACTGAAATTCCTCTGGGGTTGAAAACCAAAACCCAAGACCCACGCTGTGTGGTTGTGTCTGGTGCATGTGAGCATGTGTGTGGGCTCTGCCTGACCTCTCTTCCTTCCACAGGCTGCAAGCTGCCTCCTCAGCCCACCGGTGCGGACCCAAGTCCCAGCCCCAACTCCCCCGTGTTTAGGACGGGCAGTGAGCCCACACTGAGCCCAGCCATGGTCCGGAGGGTCTCGACGGGTGCCAGGACCACAGGGGAGGCACTGAGGGGCTCAGACAGCCAGCTGTGCCCCAAGCCGCCCCCCAAGCCTTGCAAGGTGCCCCTCCTCAAGGTGCCCCCCTCGCCGCACACCTGGCTCAATGCAGAAGCCAACTACTGTGAGCTAAATCCCGCCTTTGGCACAGGCTGCGACAGGGCAGCTGGCTGGTCCCCCTGCGCCCCAGGCAGTCAGGCCAAGCTGCCCGTACCCAAGCCCGGTGAGGGCCCCAGTTCCAGGAACTCTGGCACCAGCTACTTGATCCTCGATGGTGATGATGGGGCTGGGCCTTGGGCACCACCCACCGTGCAGACGGAAAAGGGGCACATGGACATGGGAGGCAGCGAGTTCGTGGCACCCCTGCTGGAGACCGTCTCCTCCTTTCGGCCCAATGACTTTGAGTCCAAGCTCCTGCCTACGGAGAACAAGCCCCTGGAGATGGCGCTGCTGAAACGTGCGAAAGAGCTGTTCACCAGCAACCACCCCCGGGTCCTCGCCCAGCACCTGCTGAGCACCGACTGCAAGGTCAGTGCTCAACTCCACTCTGGGAGGGAGGAGGTGCCCGGCCTCACTTCCACCTCACCCTTGCAAGTGCTTTCCTGCTTGGAGGAGAAAATGTCTTGATGTTAAGGTCAGGGTGGGAATTTATTTAAAGGGTGGAAACCACAGAACTGGCACAACCTTTGCCCAGCCAGGAAGCTTGCAAACTTCCCTATGGATGGAGGCAGGGCGGGAGGGCTGGCCTTGCCCTGCACCTGCCCCTGTCACCTGGGGCTTAGTTACAACTTCAGCTGCAGCGCAGGTGGAGCTAAAGCAGGGGAATCGCAGGTGGAAATGGAATGTTGAGAGCAGCAGAGCCAGCCTGCCCTGGCGGCTTTGATCGCGACCTTCACACACTTTTAACAGTCCATCTTTGTGGCTCAAGCTGTCTTGAGTGTAAGCACATATAAACTGACCTTGATTTTTTTTCCCCATTACAATAGTTATTTCATTAGGAGCCATTGTAAAATGCAGATAAAAAGGTAAGACCACAGGAAATCCAGCCTTCACTTAGCGTAGGTAGAAGTGCTACATCCTGGTTTACCGGGCACACAGGCGTGGGTAAATAATTGCATGCATGATGTGTTGGAGTGTCCCTGGGCTGGGCAGACCACCCCGCATTCCTGCCCCTCCTGTCAGCAGCCCCCTCATTTAGCATGGGAAAAGCATTTCTTGGTACTCTTGGTCCAGATCAACCCTCACTCACCCTTCAGAGAGAATTCCTAGCCAACTCAGTGCAACTCCATATAAATTTATTTAATTTGAAAGCATGTCTAAGAAGGAGAGACAGAGCCTCTTGCAATGGTTTACTCCCCAAATGTCCACAAAGGCCAGAGCTGATCTGAACTGAAGCCAGGAGCCTCCAGGAGCCTCCTCCAGGTCTCCCACTCTCATTCTCCCAGGCCATAAGCAGGGAGCTGGATGAGAAGTGAAACATCCAGGGAGCAAACCCGTGCCCTTTCGGGATGCTGGTGCTGCAGCCAGAGGATATGCTTGATATGGCATTGCATCAGTCCTTCTTAGTGTTAGAGAAAATAAAGCCAGCCCCTTGAGCAGCTGAGTAACAGATAAAGCTTCAAAGGGACTTAAACCCCTTCCACTCCTGGCTGGGTGAGACCAAACTGCAGCAAAGGTCAAGGAAGGCATACTTAAGAGTTTCCCTGCCTGAGTCAGGAGGCAGGGTGGCAAGTTCAGTCTCCGAGCAGCACCCTAGGGGCTGGCTGAGCTGGGAGCTCCCCAGCCCCTTGCGGAGGACAGGGCTTGGATGACCTGCTGTAGGACCCCTGTGCTTTGGTGCCAGGATCTGGTGGTGATCCAGGCTGCAGGGGGGTGGGCAGAGAAGTAGGATATGACACCTCCACAAGGAGGGCCTGAGGAAAGATGTGGCCTGCTCCCTTCTCCTGCTCCTGGGTTCAGATCCTCTGCTGTGTTAGCTCCCCACCTCCAATGACCTACAGCCAGATAAACCTGTTTGGGAGGTAACAGGAAGTCAGAGGGCTGCTCTGGTGATCACAGCAGACCAGACTGGTGTGAAAAGCAGCTGGGCCTGGACTTGCAAAACCTCGGAGTGGGGGGTGCAGGATGGAGGTGAGCAGGTGCCTGCCCACACTCTGGGTAGCCTGGAACCTTCCCTCCACTGTTGGCTCCCAGGAAGTGACACCCTGCATCTGTCCCACAGCACAAGCCGGCTGTCCTCTCTCTCATCCCTCGTGGTGGGGGTCTTACGCCCATCTAGCTTTGGGCACCCCTGGAAGAGGAGTGCATTGGAGTCCGAGAGCAGAAGCCAGCCTGCACTCAGCCAGCCAGGGCCCCAGGGCACGGCCGTGTGGGGCTTCCTCCTTCCCCTCTCTGGAGCCCACTGCTGTTTCCTCTTCCTCCTCTTGCTGGAACCACCAGGGATCACCAGTGTCTCAGAGGGAAACCAGACAAGAACCATTGTTCCCCACGCCAAATGCAGCCAGTAGCCCAGTAGTACAGAGCAGGGGGACTGGTTGCAGGTGCTGGGTAGCATCTGGGCCCCATGTGCCCATTTCCACTCCCCCACAAAGCCTAGAGCTTGCGACCAAGGAGAGGGCATCAAGACAGTGGGTGGCCTTGGAGGCTGTCAACCCAGCATCGGACAGCCCTCAGCCCAAGGGTCTCTCCTTTCCTTGCACATGGGCCCTGGCCTGGCCTCACTCATCCAGGTGTAGATTCTCCTACTTGCTTGTCTTTGCCTGTGGCCACTAGAAATGCGCCCTGTAGCTTGGCCGACATTGCATCAGCTGCAGGCCCTTCCCCCATAAGATTTAGCTGCCCAGGTGGTCACTGAGGACTTGAGGGCCGAACAGAGGATAATACAACAAAGGCATACACAGCAACTCAGCTGAGGAAAGCTACAGCAGGGAGAAGGAGGGTTCTGGAGGCTTCCATCTGAGTAACTGACCATGGCAGGGTAGGTGGTTAAGTGCTTTCCAGGCAAGGGAGGGAACCTGAGGAGCAGGTGCATGGTGGCCCCTCAAAGTGCCGCTCTGAGACCTCTGTGTCCAGGGCAGCAGAGCCAGCAAGAGAGGAGCAGGGTGGATTTGAAAAGAGGAGGACTGGGCAGCATTCCCCCCACCCCCTGCCATCCTAGGGGCTCTCTGGGCTCGGAGGCAGGTGGTTGGGAGGCCAATTGCCACCTGCTGTGCTGGCTGTAGCCCTCGGGTCCTGTGGCTCAGCCTGGGGACAGCCACACACAGCCCCTGGAAGGTGGTGGTACCACCTTTACCACCCCAGAGGCTTCAAATTCCACCCTACACATTCCCCCTCAGCCCCCCTCCCCGCTGCAAACAGTGGCCAGTGATTCAGAACTCTTGGGGGAGGCTTGAAGGCTATTTGCAAAGTCCTTGAGAAAGTCTGAGAGGAAGCCAAGGCCCAGAGAGTTCTGGTGAGGGTTCTCATAGCGTAAATTCTGGCCTTTCCCCCGCCCGGGATATCTAACCCTACAAGCTCATTCCCTGAGCCGGACACAGCTGCCTCTGCCCAGCCCCAGAAATTAAGGATCAAGGTTACTGGCTTTGGAGGGGCCTCCACATGTTTTTTATGGTGGTGTCTTATGAAAACATCTGCTGTGCTCCTGTGCATGAGACAGTGAGGATGGACCCCTGGATGGAAGAGAGGAAGGGACTGCTGTGTCCCGAGTGGCTGGGCTGGATTAGTCGCTTTGTATCTGCCAGTGGCACTCTTGGTGTTCCTGTGCCTCAAGGCATCACCAGCCCCCAGAGCGATGCTTCAACAGAACATATGGTTGTCCCAAGAGGCAAGCTCATACCCAACCCTGTTAGCCATGATTCCACCATGCTGGAGTGGAGTTGGTGGCGGACAGGGGGGAGAGGACAGCTGGCACCTACATACCAAGATTTTTTTTCAGGGAAACTACCCAGGATGAGAAGGGAGTGCATTTGTAACCTGAGGTTCCCCATGGGTGCACCCGGTTTGGGAGTCTACAGGTGCGGGTGCTTGTCCCAAGCTCGGAGATGAACACAGTGGCAGCCCCGGCTGTTGGCTAAGAACAGCAGTGGCGGTGCCCAGTATGGATGGAGCACATGCAGGATTCTTTCTCCCTGGCAGGGGTCATCTACCCCCCACACACATGGCCCATCTTTTGGTTTGCACAACACCACAGCAGGCTGCAGCCTGCACCACACAGAAGCTTAGAGCCTGGGGTCCAGGGGTGCCCTAGTCCTTCCTTTCCTCCAAGCGCGTGTAGGAACTGCGTTTCTATACCGTTGTGCATTCCTTCATGCAATACAGCCAGCCCAGGGCTTCCTCCCGGCCCCAGGGAGGTAAGGACCTTCCCTGGCGCCACACCACATCCGCCTCTGGCTCCCCCACAGGTTGCCAGGATACTTGAAGTCTCTGAAGAGATGAGGAGAAATATGGGCGTGAGCTCAGGGCTGGAGCTGCTCACCCTGCCACATGGCCGCCAGCTGCGCCTGGACATCATTGAACGGTGAGCAGTGTCCTTCGCTGGTGGGCACCAGGGCCGCAGGTCTCAGTGGGAGAGGGCTGTGGCGCCTCGCGACCCGCCCCAGTGCACACGGCCCCAGCCGGGTCTTCTCAGAATCCTTGGCTGGCTGAGGATTCCTGGAGATGCACAGAGACACGGTGTGGTGATTCAGGGACAGAGGACATGTTCCTGGAGGCGTGAGGCCAGTGAGAAGCCACCCACCAGGCTGGTGACCCAGCCAGGGCCTGGGGAGCTCTTCACCTGCCACCCTCAGGCCCATCTGCATGGGGAGCTGCATGACTGCGTGCATGTGGGAGACTGTGTGTGCGCATAGGTCTGCATGTTGTCTTCTTGGCTTTGACCAGTAATTCAGGAGTTAAGTGGCAGCTTGTGGGAAAGACTACTAAAGACAGGCTGAATGGTATTTTCTTTAGCAGTGGACCAGTGAGGGGTCAGAGGTCAGGGAGTTTGACCTTTAGCCTCCTGGGCCTGCAGTCTCCTTACCCCCTGTAAAGCCAGTGCCCTAGGTACTCACTGACATGTATGTGGTGGGGAGGATGGGTTCCAGTGCTGGCTCCACTGCAGCCCCAGCTTCCTGCCAAGGCGCACCCTGCAGGCAGCAGACAGCTCAGGGATGTGGGTTTCTACCACCCAAATGGAAACACAAATTGAGTGTTTGGCTCCCAACTTCAGGCCAGCGCAACCTTGACTGTTGTGGGCATTTGGGGTGTGAGCCAGTGGATGAGACATGGTTTGTTTCTGCTATTGTTGTCTGTCTGCCTTTCGTGCAATTAAACATACTTTTTTAAACAAGGAAAGTACACAATATGATGCACACATGGGAACATAAGACGTTTAGGAAATTAGCAAGACATGAAGGCGTGCTTTAAAAAGTACAAGACCACATTTGTCCGTGACCATCATGTCTGGCTGTTGGGACATACATACCAAGTGAGCTTGGGCAAGACTGCCCTGTTAGGTCCCCTGTGCCCCAGCCAGTGTCCCGGACGCTGTAGCCGAGTGCCTGTGCTTTCTGTGGCGCTCTGGGTCAGCATGCTGTCCTGGCCCGTCTGTCCCCATTTCTGTGGTGGCAGAAATGCACTGCATTGGCTGTCGCCAGAGCCATGAACAACATGGGTCTTCTGGACTCTGGGAATGCGGCTATGCCAGGTGCCACCTGCTACATTGGGGCTGTGGCCAGTGTCGGGCTGTCAGCCACTGGCAGTGAATGCTGCGTTGCCAGATCCCTGGGGTGAGGGGTTTAGACGGAGATGCATTCTTTGTATATAAACGAAATGCAGCGAGCCTCCCCCGCCCCCCAACCCAGTGTTGCTGCTGGCCTCACAGGTGGCCCCTGCGGACCTTGTCCAAGTGTACTCATTGTTTAGAGTCCCTGGAGAATAGCTTCAGCCCCTGGATTTCCTTTTTCCTGAGACTTTTCCAGCTCCTGGCCTCCAGGTCTGAGGTGTCTGAGCCTATTCTCTGTGCCCTCAGGTGTGCCGGTGTGCAGGTGTGCAGGTCCTGGGCCTGGCTGTAGAGGGCAGCTTCGGGGCTTCTCCCAGGGCCATTTTTTGACTTATCTCAACCCAGTTCTTTTTTCTCCTGACAGCTGCTTAGCTACAGTTCCGCTCTGTAACTTATTTATCATCTGAAGCTGATATGTGGGGTCTGCCCACCAGAGCCTGGGAGTGAGCGCAGGGCAGGACAGTGTGCTTACTCAAAGGCCAAGGTCACAGGCAACTGAAAGTAGTCAGTGGCATGGCCTTCTTGCACCAGAGAATCAGATAATAAAATCATGGGCCCAGGCTGCAGATTCAGTCACTTTGTGTTGTATCCAGGGGGCCTCTAGGTGGATGGTGATGGGATGAATGACATAATTTCCCTCTTAGCCCACTGATGTAACAGGTCTTAGAGGAGAGATGCTTAATAGGGGCCATTAAGACATAAGGAACTTATCAGTTGAGAGATCAGGAAAAGGAGGTAAGTGGAGCTAGCTAAGTGGCAAGAGATGGAGACCCACAAACCACAGAGGAGACACAGCTGCAGAAGGTGGGGTGCCTGCTCATGCCCAGCAGTGTCTTTTTGCATCTGCTTAGTCCCTGACAGTCCTGGCTCCCACCGAATAGAGGCAGTGAGGAGCAGAACAGAGAGCAGCCCACAGCCACCCTGCAGGTGCACACACTGCGAGAGGGCTGGGCTCGGGCCTGACCTCACAAACACCCATAGCCAGGCACCCATCAGGCCACTGCCTCCTGGTGTCTTGGGACAGCGAGGGATGTTGTGCACCCAGCAGAGAGAGTCCAGCCTGGAGTATCAGTCTTGGCTGTGTCATCGGATGACAGCAGGGTCTGTTTTGGCTGCTACTCATGGAAGCCAACGCCCCTGCACAGCCCAGCACCACCACAGCCTGGGAGACAACAGCCGAGGCACTCTGACCCATGGCTCTAACCCTGTGGTGGGAGTCCCTGTGTACACCTCCTGCCATGGGCTGACCTCATCCCTGTTGGTCCTGTGGAGGCGGCCTGGCTTCCTGGGCTGACTAGCTTAGGATGCAAGAGGAGAGGACTGGCAGGGGCAGTGGGTTTCCGCCCTGTTAGGGTCTGGGTTTGGTCATGCAGGCAGACTCCAGACCCGCAGCTTTGTAGTCTCGGTGCACCTCTCCGGCTTGTTCTGGCCTCCTGGGCGGGGCCCTCCTTACAGCTGGGTGCCTGCTCCTTCCCTCCCTCTGTGCCCTCACTGGCTTCATCTTCCTGGATCAAACTGATTCCCACATCTTTCTGCTCCCAAGTTCCCCTCAGTGGAGGTGGCCCTGGGGCGTTCCCGAGAGTGATGGATATTGTGTATGTGTGTGTGTACCAGTGTCTCCTTGGGCCTCTCCCAAGGACATAGCTGACCCATATGCACTTGGAGCTGCTCTCCCCTAGGGCTTTCACCTTGTCCTATCCCCAGGGCCAGGTTGAACCTGACCCTATTTGGGATATCTCCAGGCCTCTGCCCCGTCAGCCTGCTTGGCGGGAGTGGGGGTCTCTGGTAAGGCCAGCTGGCCAGCCGTCCTCAACAGCAGGGGCAGTACAGTTAGACCAAAGCACTTAATCAGCTCTTAGCCCTGCCCATGCTGGAGCCTGACCCCGTATCCCTGCCTCTCAGACACAACACAATGGCCATTGGTGTGGCAGTGGACATCCTGGGCTGCACGGGTTCTCTGGAGGACCGAGCGGCCACTCTCAACCGGATCATCCAGGTGGCGGTGGAGCTCAAAGATGCCATGGGGGACCTCTACTCCTTCTCGGCCATCATGAAGGCGCTGGACATGCCACAGGTAGGTGTGCATGGGCTGCGCACTGGCCTCTGCCCAGGCCGGGGGACGGTTTGCAGCTAAGGGTGTCTCACAAGCCCTACTGAGCTTCAGTGAGAGCTGCGTGGGTTCTGGGACAACCCCAGTGTTACTGCTCTGGTTTTTAGCAGCAGTGGATGACCACTGCACGCTTCCTCCTTCATGTTCCATGGAAGTCACGCCCATCAGAACTCCTGGGGACCTTTTAGGAGGGGACATCTGGCTAACGTGAGACTACTTCCAGCTGGGTGGTCACCAGGGGTCAATGAGCAGTGCACTGAGACACTCCAGGAACCTGCACTGGAGAATCCTTGGAGTGGTTTATGTCATAGTGTGGGTGTGGTCCTAGCGCTGACCCCCATAAAGACTCTCCCACATCCTTGGCCCACCTGCCATACCTTGTGTAACACACCCTGCCATTTGTTTCTAAAGTGGACACTGGGACCCATCTGCTCTGAGAGATACAGCCTTTTGGAAGATGGGTGTCAAACCTGCCTTTGAAATGCAGTGGGCCTCATGGAGGACAGAAGCTGGCTCTACCACTTCTCAGTGGCTTTCCACGTCCCTGGAGGCCAACTCTGAGTCCTCTGTGACAGCCCCAAGGCTGTCATGACAGATGTCCCAGCTGCTGCCTCGTTAGCACAGATGCTTCTCAGCCACCCACAGTCCCCGAGATGCTGCCAGGGGTGCACCACGAAGCCAGCAAGAAAGGCAGCATGGTCACATGTCCTGCAAGGCAGGGTGTGGCAGGGGCAAGATGTGCTTGCACTGAGGTCGCCGTAAAGGCAAGAGAAACAGCTTGGCTGCTTTATCAGGAATTTGCAAGTGCAAAAGGCTTTCACAGTTCCTCAGGTGCACCGAAATGTTACAGGACTGATATCTGAATTAAGTGACCTACACATTTTGCCTGTTTTCAATTCCTATCACATGTATTTTGCAGTTCAGTGTTTTAATTTTATTTCCTGTCATCTAAAACTGCCTATAACTTAGTTTATCACGATTTTTTTTTTACCAGGGCTAGCACTTTGGCACAGTAAGTTAAGCCACTGTCTGCACACCAGCATCCCATTTGGGTATTGGTTTGAGCCCTTGCTGCTAAATTTACGAGCCAGCTCCCTGCTGATGCACCTGGGACACAGCAAAGGGTCGCCCAAGTGCTTGAAACCCTGCCACCACTTGGGAGACCCTGGCTAGAGCTCCTGGTTCTGACTGAGCCCATCCCTGCTGTTATAGCTACTTGCATTTGCTGGTTCACTCCCTCCCAAGATCTCTCACTGCCTCTCCCTTTTTCTCTGTAACCCTGCCTTTCAAAAACCTATTAAAAAGAAAGTCACTAGCAGAGCTGTAGACAGGTATTCTATCCACTGGTCACTCCCCAAATGGCCACAAATAACTAGAACTGGCCAGGGCAAAGCTAAAGCCTGGAATTCCATTTGGTTCTCCCACTTGGGTGCAGGGGCCCATGCTCTTGGGGCCATTATCTACTGCTTTTTCAGGCACATGAGTAGGGTCCTGGTTGATAAGTAGAGCAACTGGGACACAAACCAGCACCCTTGTGGGATGCTGGCTTCACAGGTGGCAGCCTAATGTGCTGTGCTACAGTGCTGGCCCCTCCTAGGACTCTTGACAGCTAGGTTGTGTATACCACTCCCTCTGAGAGCAGGGATGCCTGGCGGGCTCACCTGGTTGCTGCCCCCAACATCAAACTCAGTAGCTAGTGACTTTCCCCAAGACCTCCCCACCACCAGCAAGTGCTTCCTGCTCTGGGGCATCGCAGCAGGAGAGGTCATGGCCCTGCAGGAGCCAGGGCCCTTCCAAGCAAGTGGCTTCCCTGGCAAGGTTAGCCAAGGAGTTCCTGTGCATCTTCCTGCGGAGCCACCCTTTCCTGCAGCTGCATGTACCAACCCTGGCTGTGAGTAGAAAGCCAGGGCATGCACGAACAGGCTGAGCCCACACACAGAGCTGCTGTGACAAGGTGGGGGGACAAGGGTCTGTGAGCTACCAGAGGGCAGAATCATGGGTAGTCCATGCATGACCAGCCCAGGCCACACACCTTTTCTTCTTGGCACACGTGGGAGCTCAGAAAGGTCAAGGACGTGTGTGCTGGCTCCACCCCTTTTGGCAAGGGAAGCTTGGGCATTCTGCTTGCTGACCTGCAAGGTGAAGCCACAGGCTCATGAGGCTGGCCCTCAAGGTTGAGTGCCTTTCCTGGTCTCCTGGAGAGAGCACACTCAGTTTAGGGGGCAGGAGAGGGATGTTAGCCAGGAGGATATGTGCAGGTGTTGGCATCACCTGGTTGGGGCCATCTCCTGTGTGCCCCAGACACCGTGTCCAAGTTCAAGGACTCACCACATCCTGGCACAACCTCCTGAAAGGCTGCCAGCTCCTCCTGAAAGTACCATGTGTGTACTCTGAGACCCAACCCTGGCGCTTCCGGAAATACATCCTCCCCATGTGGGAAACTGTTGCCAAATCTTGCCAAAGTCACTTTCTAGTATCCGAGTGTCTTTAAAGCCTTGCCTGGTGGTCTCCGGTAAGCTGAGTCTGATGCAGAGGCGTGAAGCTGTTTTCCATGGATTTAGGTGGGATGAATTCCAAGCCAGGATCAGAGCAGAAAATGCAGGTGTTTTAAAAAATGTCCATGAAGCCCAAAGGCACTGTCTCTGGACAGGAATGCAGAAGCAGGTGGTGAGGGTGGGAGTTTTCTGCCTCTTTTATTATGAGTATCCATCACCTGTTCCCAAAGGTACACATCTCCATGATGTTTCCAAGGAGCCCCATCCCCAACTGCCCCCATTTTCCCTTGCAGATCACACGGCTGGAGAAGACGTGGACGGTGCTGCGGCACCAGTACACACAGACGGCCATCCTCTATGAGAAGCAGCTGAAGCCCTTCAGCAAGCTCCTGCACGAAGGCCGTGGTGAGCCAAGATGGGGGCTCTAGTGTCTGTGGGTCAGGGCCATTCGTGGACCCCAGGTCATCTGCAGGCTAACATGTGGCTCGCAGCAGGTGGTGGCAGGTTCGAGGTCCAGTTGCTGGGAGAAGGCAGGGCCACCAGTCAGCACTTCCTGCCTTCACTCCGAGGGACGATTTGATCCTGAAAACCTTGACCTCCTGTCCCACAGAGTCCACGTGTGTCCCCCCGTGCAATGTGTCCGTCCCACTGCTGATGCCCCTCGTGACCTTGATGGAGCGCCAGGCCGTCACTTTCGAAGGAACCGACATGTGGGAAAAGAACGACCAAAGCTGTGAAATTATGCTGAACCATCTGGCTGCCGCCCGATCCATGGCTCAGGCCGCAGACAGCTACCGAGTGAACGCCGAGAGGATCCTGGCAGGTAGGGGGCGCTTTCCTGCCTGCTTCTCACTCCTCATGGCACTTAGAAGAGTGTGGGGACCCCTGCACTAGAAAGATGAAGGCATGGGAATGTGGCTTCCCAGGATAGACAGCTGCTTCCTCTAGGCGTGCCAAGACAGCTTTGTGTCCGTTCCTCCCTCCTTTTGCATGCTCACTAGGTCAGTGCTGCCCAGTCAGCGGAAAGCAAGGGAAAAAGAACTGAGCAGCTGGTCTACTGCGAGGACAGCTCCCTCTTATCAGTGTGGATTTGTTGCACTTCCTGGGGCTGCCTCCCTGGTCCTCCCAGCGGCACCGTGAAGGGAGCGCCCCTGCTGCCAACTTCTGACGCATCCTGCATAGTGTTGGGCAGAATGTTGGGTAAACTCAACCATGGGACGAGAAAGCAGCTGTCTCAGTTGGCTTGCTAAACACGCTGAACAGACAGTGTGCACCCAGTGTCTTGCCACAGGACTGGTCACATACGTAAAGGGCATGGAGAGATGTTCAGAGCATTAATAATTAGGGAAATAGTGAAACTACAGCAAGGTACCACACACTCACTAGAGGCGCTCACAGTAATGGCAAAAGGAAGGCTTGACAGTTAAACTGGAGCCTTACTGTGCTGCCGGTGTGGATGTAGACTGGGCCAGCCGCTTTGAAATACTGAATGTGAGTTTCTTTGAAAGTAAACCTACCACATGACCCTGTGAGTCTACTAGAGAAGTGAGAACGCAGGTGCACACACGGTCACAGCATTATTCAAAGTAGCCAGAAACTAGAACAATCCAGAAGTCCATCATTTAGAGATGCACTGAACAAGATACAGTGTGCCCACATACAGGATACTGTGGGCAACAGAAACAAAATAAACTGTAGGAAACAAGCAATGTCAGAAACCACCATCTTAACTGAAAGAAAAGACACACCAGTTAGTTCCTGCTGCATTTATATTACACTTTCAGGAAAGGCCAAGCAGCAACAGCAGAAAGTGAGGTACCCATGTGGTGTGGCAGCTAGGATCAGCCACAGGGCACGGGGCGGGTTGGGGGGTCACTGTGTCACTGCATTGGAACTGTAGATCCTCAAGGGTGGGGCGCTGTCATCTCCCTGTGATTTTCTTAGCTTTACTGCTTGAAAACATACTTGTGGGCCCAGTGCGGTGGCCTAGTGGTTAAAATCCTCGTCCTGAACACACCAGAATACCAAATAGGCGTCGGTTTCTAATCCCGGCAGCTCCACTTCCCATCCAGCTCCCTGCTTGTGGCCTGGGAAAGCAGTCAAAGATGGCCCAAAGCCTTGGGACCCTGCACCTGTGTTGAAGACCCAGAATGCTTTGGATTGGCTCAACTCCAGCCACTGTGGCCACTTGAGGAGTGAACCAGTGGACAGATTTTCCTCTGCTTGCCCCCTCTCTGTATATCTGACTTAAAAAAAAAAAAAACATACTTGCAAGACACAGATTTTGTATCTTCTGGGTCACTCTCCAAGTATCACGAACAACCCAGGGTGAACCTGGCTAAAAGTAAAGGCCCAGAACTCAGTGTGGGCTTCCCATCTGGGCAGTGAGGGCCCAGTCACTCCCAGGGGGGTGGAGGGGTACATTGGCAAGGAAGTCAGCCTGGAAGTAGAGCTGGGTCTCAAACCCATGCAGATGCAGACAGCCTGAGATGTAGACTTTTCTGTTGCACCACAACACCCATCCTGTGTTTTGAGCCTGCTTTCAAAAGACAGGACCCAAGTTTTCAGTCTAGTTTTGGGCAGAACTAAAAGTTCACTTTTGTTTTGCTTAGGTTTCCAACCAGATGAAGAAATGAGTGAAATCTTCAAGACGGAATTTCAGATGCGGCTGCTGTGGGGCAGCAAAGGTGCCCAAGTCAATCAGGCAGAGAGATACGAGAAATTTAGCCAGATCCTCACCGCCCTCTCTCGGAAACTGGAGCCTCCGGCCGCGAAGCAGTCTGAGCTCTGAGACTTCGGCGGGGACCCCCAGCCCCTCGGTCCAGGCTTTTCCAGCAGCTTCCCTGGGAAGACCTGCCAATGATCATGTGCATATCTGACAATATACAAGCTTTTAGTATCCATGGGATATTAAATGTGTAAGTTGCACAGAGCACACTTATTTATGAACAGTTTAAAAATTACTACTGATTTTTAAAATGAATGATAATTTATTAAGGTAACTATCGCTAATGCTGATCAGCACCAATAAGAGAAGCCCCAGCTATGTTGGCTGGTTGCTTTCTATAACTGCAGTATTTGATCATTTTAAATTCCATCTCCAATAAGTGTAAATAGAATTTTTTTTTAAAAGCATGAAACATCTCAGAAGGTATCAGTTGTATGATATTCTTTAAATGAATATGAGAAATGTAAATATTAATGAAAATATATCTTTTTTTGAAAGAGTTGTATTTAGTCTCTTTACTATGAAATACCTCAGTATTTCTACCTACTTGTCTCCTGTCCTTCCTGTGTGGGATGCTAGCCATCACAGGACTTGATCGAGGGGGTTTCTCCCATATCGTCCGATCCAACCCAGTCCATCACCCCAGACTCCAGTGCCAAACCCATTAACTTAAGTTCCCACCACTGAGTACCATAACTGAGACATTGGCAGCCATTCCTTTAGGGGAACTCAGCGTCCAAACTCATCTCCAAGCCAGAGCAGGTGCCGACTGCCGTAGCCACCACGTTCTGAAAGGCAAAAGGCAAAGTGCAAGAAGTGCTGTGGGAAACTCAAGGGTGCAGGGTCCCAAAGCTTTGGGCCGTCCTCGACTGCTTTCCCAGGCCACAAGCAGGGAGCTGGATGGGAAGTGGAGCTGCCGGGATTAGAACCGGTACCCACATGGGATCCCAGTGCGTTCAAGGCGAGGACTTTAGCTGCTAGGCCACGCTGCCGGGCCCTAGATATTTTTTTCCAAACCATAAACTAGCACACTTATTCTTGGAGCAATAGGTGGTTTAGATGCTCTTAGAAGGACCTTTTGTCATAATATAATGGAGTGAACTGTAGTTAAGCACACGTTTTAATGTCCTGTTCTTGACAGAATACAATGGCAATCTCCAAGAAACAAACCTCCCCTCCTTACTTCATCCCCAATAGGTACAGCAAAATTAAATCAACTCAGTCAGGAAACTTTAAAAGCTGGGGGGGACCTGGAATGGAAGACTGTCTGAGGTGAACTTAACATGAGATGCCTCCATTAAGTCTAGATCCTGAAGGATCCTGTTTCTGGGCTGAGGAAGATATTCTCTGAGGCTCCCAGTCATGTTAATCAGTGAGACCCCCAGAGATAGACCCAGGAGGAGCTATGTAAGACAGGGGACTCACAGGGGGACCTGGCCTGCGTGATGATGAAGGCCGTGAAGTCCTATGACAAGCCAATAGCAAGCTGGGATACCAGTAGCATGGCTCAGTCCAAATCCAGTACCTCAGAACCTGGGAAGCCAACGGTGCAACTCAGTCCTTGAAAGGCCCAAGGCCAGGAAGCCTGAAGTTCCAAGAGCAGGCTCGACAATTCCCCTTGCCCTGCCTTCCTGCCTTGTGTGGGTGCCAGCTGACTGAATAATGCTGTGCACATGGAATGTGTATCTTCCCCCGACTTACCCATCTCAGGGAACATCCCTGCAGCTACACTCAAAGGTAATACTTTCCCCCCTTCCACACGATCCTTGGCTCAGTCAACACCTAAAATGAACCATCACTCCAGAACAAAGTCTACCTTCCTGTGGCACTCCCAAAGGAAATTAATTATGAGGACGATAGCCTTGGCACATAACCCAGTGGAACAGAGAACCCAGAAATAAATTCACGTATTTATACCCAACTGATCTTTAACAAAGACAACAAGGACACACAGTGGAGAGAGCCTGTTGGTCCTGGGAAAGCTGGATATTTACATACAAAATAAAGAAAACAGACCTATATTTTTATCTCGCCATATAAAAAAATCAACTCAAAATAGATGAAAGCCTTAAGTGTAATGCTACAGGAAAACTCCATGACACTGGTCTGGGCAAAAAATTCTTAGTTACAACTCCAACATCATAAGCAACAAAAGCAAAAAAAAATTAGCAAACAGAATTATACTAAACTACATAACCCAACCTGAGCAAAGGAAACCATCAACACAATGAAGAGACAACTACTGAATGGGAGATATCTGCCACCTCTTCACCCAATAAGAGATTAACATACAGAATATAAAAGGATCAGCAAAAGGAAAGATTTTAACATGGGCAAATTAGTTGAAAAAACATTTCACAAAGACAACATATAAAAGGGAAATAAGTATGAAGGAGCTTCAAAAACTTTGTGGGAAATAAAAGGTAATTTAATGCATTTCCCATGAACTTTCTGAAGAAATATGAAAAATGGCCCACATCACTTTTCAGCGGGGAAATGCAAATTAAAGCCACACTGGGATGCCATCATCTCAACCCAGACAGGCTGTCTGTTGTCAGAAAGATGAAAAGCAAATGCGGGTGAGGATTCAGAGAAAGTGGAGCTCTCCAGCACTGTGGGTGGGCGTATAAATTAGCAGAGTCATCATGTAAAACAGTATGAAGAGTTCTCAAAATGCTAGAAACAGAAGTGCCACAAGAAACAGCAGTCCCACTTGTGAGGTTTGAGAAGCTCATGGAAAATGTGCTTCATCTTTTCATTCTACCTTTTCCTGAAGGCTTGGCAGCTCCCTCCCACGTCCACAGGACAAGCACTCACAGCAGCACTGTCACAACAGCCCAGAGACACGGTCAACCTTAGGTGGCCAGCAACAGAGTCCTAAAGATGGACACACACAGAGGGGCATCCTTCTGCCACAGCACGAATGAAATCCTCTCATGGTTGGAACTACAGGATGTGTGTTAATGAGGTAATTCATAAAACATTCTCATTTATATGCAGAATCTAAAAAGTTGACCTACAGAGGTAAAGAACAGCAGTTTACAGAGGTTGGGAAGGGTGAGGGTGAAGAAAGGATGGAGAGAAGTTATTAAGTGCAGTGGTCCAGCTGGGAGGAATAACATTATTTTCTACAGCACAGTAGATTAACCATGGCTGGAAACAACTATTTTCCTTTATTATTTTTAATTTGAATGGCAGAGTTACAGACAGATGGACAGAAAGAGACCTTCTATCTGCTGGTTCATGCCCCAAAATAACCATAATGGCCAGAACAGAGCCCTTCTGAAGCCAGGAGGTAGGAGCTTCCTCCAGGCCTCCCCCACGGCTGTGGGGACCCACAGACTTGAACCAATCTCTGCTTCTCTCCCAGGGCAAGCAGAGAGCTTTCATGGATCAGAACATGAACCAGTGCCCATTTAGGATGCTGACACAAAAGGCCGAGGCTTAGCCTACTATGTCATGTCTTATCTCCTGGAAGCAGCTATTTCTAAAGAGCCAATAGAGAGGATTTTGTTTCCAACCCAAACCATAGATGTCTGCACTGGAAGATGAGCCAGTTTCTCTGATCTGATCACTATACATTGTATAGATATACTAAAATGTCACGCTGCACCCTATAAACATGTACAAGCATTACATATCTATTAAAAATCTGCTCCCAGTAAATGGAGTCTTCAGGAGCATTTGCAAGCACAGACATGTTCTCACACACCGACCTGGAGTAACAACATTCAAAAAGCCAAAACCAAGAAACTGATCTTCCAGGTTGGCAGTGTCCAGCAGGCATGGCTTGGTCCCACCAGCGCATCACACAATGGTATTTAGGAAACTTTTACACATTTCATGTATGACAGTGATTCTGCTGAGCAGTCAAAACAGGACAAATTTTTTAAATATAGGATTTGTGAACTAGTTGAGCAAGAAGAAAAAAGTAATCCCTTACCTCACTGAATAAAACATTAGCACTTTTAGAAGAAAATATAGCCTATCCCTTAAATATTAGATACTGTATTATCGTGAAAAGCTTCTATTTATTAAAAGCCATCTTAGAGGAAACAGAAAGCAGAGAAGCTAGTCACAACACAAATGAAGGCCTGTCCAGCACGCAGCCTCCCAAATGGCCTGACACCCACCTTCCACCTGCGGGCTCCAGCCTCCCTGCACAGGCGTGGTGTGGCGTGTCTGAGGCTGGCACAGAAGGCTGCACTCTCCTGTTGGTCGCCAGGAAGCAAAGGGCCATGCTGGACACATCCAAGGGGCAAGGCACCGAGGCCTCCGGAACTCGCAGGCAGGATCCAGCTAGTAAGATTCCCCAGCCCTAGGCAAAGCCTTGCAGTGACGGCCCACAGTGTGACTGCAACCGCAGAGAAGCTAAAATCAAATGCTATGAAGCACAATGAGAAACAGCACTCAGTAAGCATCCTTCATACATTTAAAAAAAAAAAATCCCAAGATTAACAGAGAGAGACAATCACCCACAGAGGGCGGGGTGAGGGCGGGAAGGGACAACTCACCGAGCAAACAGCAGGGTAAACTGGGCCAACAGAAGATGCGTACTTTCACAGCCTTTTCTACTGATAAAAAGTTGAGAAGTCTGACTCCTAAGTGAAGGCAAGGGTCAGGAATACTGGTCATCCTTAAACAAGGATTTTCAGAGTATGAACTGTGGCAGTAAACTTAAAGGGAAGATGTGGCATTATCATTCAAAACTGAAAAATCATTATAATCCATAACCTAGCAGGTCCATTCCCCAGTATAGATTTTAGACAAATTTTTTTTTTTTTTAGATTTATTTATTTATTGGGAAGTCAGATATACAGAGAGGAGGAGAGACAGAGAGGAAGATCTTCCGTCCGATGATTCACTCCCCAATTGACCTCAACGGCCGATGCTATGCCGATCCAAACCCAGGATCCAGGATCTTCTTCCGGGTATCCCACATGGATGCAGGGTCCCAAAGCCTTGGGCCATCCTCGACTGCTTTCCCAGGCCACAAGCAGGGAGCTGGATGGGAAGTGGAGCTGCTGGGATTAGAACCGGCACCCATATGGGATCCCAGTGCGATTTCAAGGTGAGGACTTTAGCCGCTAGGCTGCACCACCGGGCCCAAGACAAATTCTTTTTTAAAAAAATTATGTTTTGGGCCCGGCGCGGTGGCACAAGTGGTTAAGGTCCTTGCCTTGCACGCCCGGGATCCCATATGGGCGCCGGTTCTATCCTGACAACCCCGCTTCCCATACAGCTCCCTGCCTGTGGCCCGGGAAAGCAGTCCAGGACGGCCCAAGGCTTTGGCACCCTGCACCCGCGTGGGAGACCCGGAAGAGGCTCCTGCCTTCGGATCGGCATAGCACCGGCCGTTGCGCTCACTTGGGGAGTGAATCATCAGACGGAAGACCTTCTTCTCTGTCTCTCCTCTCTGTATATCCGCCTTTCCAATAAAAAAATAATAAAAATAAATCTTAAAAAAAATTTATTTTTTAACATTTTTATT